TAAAGGTCCATAAATAATTGCCCTACAAGAACATCAGGGACTCCCTACAACTAAGGCCAAAATGTTAGTTGGTTGATCAAAATAAAAGAGGAAAATAAAGAAAAGGAGAAGAAAGAGAGTGCATGGCGAGAAAATTAAATTGCAGAGTGAAAACGTGATGCCAGCGCAAAAGCATGAAAGCATAAAGAATGAAATAAAAGATGAAGTATAAAACAAAACTTAAAAGAACTTAGATGAATTTGAGGCAAAATGCAGTAAATTGAATTGCAGAAAACTAAATACATTGAGTGGAGATTTTCCCAACGAAATAACAAAAATTAGAGTTAAAACTAATGGCAGTGTAGAGCTAAAAACTAAATTAGGAAAGCTATTTGAGAAAATTGGATCTAAACTAAAGCATTGCTTGTAAAACTAAAATCTAGATAGTGCTAGGGTAGTTATGTGAGAGGCTCGTCCTCTTGCTTCACTTCTTCTCTGCATCTTTATAGCAGTAAACACCCCTTGGCAGCATGCTTGGGAAATCTGTGGTAGCAACTAGAAAATCAATAGTAGCATGAAATTTGAAACAAACCAATTATTCTGTTGATGTTGCCAATTATCTTCCTGGAAGTTCGCAACAAGCCAACCATTTTGCTACAGTTGTGGAAATAACCATTTAACCTTATCCAGAGGGATTTACTCCGACTACTTTCAACCAATGAAATTCTTGTCAACATAGATGACACGTGGCATCATTCTTTTTTTTCTTTTTTTTTTTTACAAAAATGGGTGTAAACAGGTATAGTTTGAACTACAAGATATAAACCCATACTTTAGAGAATAAAGTTGAAATTAAAAATATGAAGCATAAATAGGCACAAATGTTGTGCTTATAATTTTGATGATTACAAAATATATTTAAATAACTAATTTGTTCATTTAAGTGTATAGTTGAACTTCTAGAACATTGCAAAATTAAGTGAAATTGGACTGCACTAAAAAGGATCAAAATAGGAGCCAATTTTATATTTTGCAGCTGACTATGCAAAAAAACAGAATGTGTAGGAAACCCGCAAAGCCGACTATACAAAGTCGGCTCTAAACTTTAAGCTAGCTGTACTGACAAATCTAGAACTTGAAAGTATGTGACCTGCGGAGCTTTTAATGACCCCAACAGCTAGTAATGGTTATTTTTGGCTATGTGGCTATAAATATGGTTGGTAGCAAAACTGGAATAAATTTTAAGAGCATTGTATTGAATATCTTTATCTACCAACTTGTGCTTTAACTTGAGTTTTTGATTTTTGAGAAATCTTTATTTGTAATCCTCTTCTTGTTTTACTTATGTGTTATCTTGGGGGTGTGATTATTCCTTCAAGAGTGATTCATATAGATAATTTTTGGGGTTTATCTTGTAAAGGGGTGAGATTTAAGAGAAACACCTTTCTTATTCTTGTAAAAGGATTGAGCAACTCATTTAAACCACCCTTGATTTTGTTAGTGAAGAGTGAAGAAAATTCTTAGTGAGTGAAGTTAAGGTAAAGGACTAGGTTCTAAGTGGTTGGACCGAACTTTTATAAAATCATTGTACAAGCTCCTCTTCCCTACTATCTCTTTGATTTTTGTTTGATAGTTGTAAAGGGGTAAAAAATTTTCAACTCCAATTCACCCCATTTCTTGGAGTACATTGAGCCAACAACAAAAACAAGAGAAAGTATGTACATGAATCTCTCATTCAAGAGAAACCCCAAACAAATACAACTAGTAAAGTTTTGACATAATGATACGATAGAAATCTTGAAACTAGATCGAAAGTTTCGGATCTGAGTCTTATTAGATATCAATTTAATATAACTTTATATTAGTTTCATTTAGCTTGTAATTGGTCGTAACCATCATGATGCAGACATTAAGAGTTAACACAAGTTATACTAACACTAGTTATACACACAAACTATATATATATATGTCATTGGGGAGACGAAAAGGGTTGGATTAAATGGTAGCTGCGGATGGGCAGTCACATGGAGGTGGTCATTCATAGGATTCCCTTCTCCCTTGTGTAAATATGATACTGTAGTGTCCGTGAAGGCAACGGCACACCATTTCTATTCATACATATATGGTAGCAAAACATAAAAAAGACAAAAAAATAGTTAATTCAATAATGTAAGTGTGGACCTTGTGGCTAATATATGACTTTGGCAAAAAATTATATACTCCTATATCCTTCATATATGTTTTTTATACGGTTTCTTTAAGGTACATGATAAGAAATAATAATTAATAAAAAATTATGATTTATTTTTAAATTGATTTAATAAAATTTAATTAAAATTTAAAATAAATTAATAAAAAAAGGCATGTAACATTTATGATTTAAATTAAAGTTAATTTTTATATTTTTTAATAAAAAATAAAAATTATTAGTCAATAAGTAATCTTATTATCTGCCCAAAAGACATAATAGAAAACCAATATAATACTACTTCATCACCGTGTTTGACCAGCAATTATACACAGAAAGTGAGAAAAGAAAGAAAGAAAGAAAGAGATTGCGTGAGAATCCCTTCGTATGTGAAACAGAAATAAAACCTAAGCTCACCCCCCCGCCCCCCTTTCCTAATTTCCATTAGATTAAGTGAATCGAGGCATTGGATTTGTGAATTAGAACGTGTAATTGACAAGCCTATTTTGCTCGTTCGGTCCCAACTTTGTATATATGGTGTTGCATGCCCTCATCTCCTGATTTTGTTTTATTTTGACCTTGATATCATGAAAGAAAACAAAAATTGTTGGGTCAAATGTGGAAAGCTCTCGTAAAATAAGGGGCAATGATAAAATAAATACATGGCATGCATGTCTATTGTCTAATGTATTGGGTGATCTATAAAAAAAAAATTATAATTCATTGTGATTATATGCACTGAATTTGATGAGCAGGATTCAAGGAGAGCAGACCGTCTGGCCTTCATCTATACATAGTCTTAATTTAACAGCCAAATAACCTTCAAGATACAGCTGTCTTATTATATTTTATTTTACATGAAAATTGAAGATACTGTTTTCATTAGACTAAAAATTACACATATCCAGATTAGTTGCCTTTAAAATTATACTAAAAATGATATTAAATTCATTAATTATCTTGCCATTATATTAGATTTTCAACATAAAAATTAAAGATAAAATATTTTCAAAAGTTTAAGGTACTATTATATATTAATTGTAAAAAAAAAGTTTTATGTAGTCCCAGAAATTACTTGGATTATACAATATAAATCATTAACGAACTCATTTTTCATCTAATAATTTTTGTTTTATAGTCAATATAATTTAAATTATAAAATAAAAAATTTTCAATTGAAAGAGGTTATTATTATTATTATTATCATCATCATTGAGTGGTTATTAGAGCTAACTTCATCTTTTGATTTGTGTTGAAGCCCTTTTTGTACTCTAATGAATTTAATTCTACATTTTGATAAATTAAGGAAGAGGTAAGTTCTGTGTCTTTCACATTTCCAATATTGTATTTGTCTCCGGTGTCACTATGTCTTGATCAATCAGTGCCTTTGATCTACACTCAAAAGAACTAAATGACGTTATCTATTAATCCGTTGAATTAGCTTAAGTGGTAAGAAATAATATGAACTTTGCTGGAAACACAAATGTTCAAATTCTTCCGCTTCTATTTGGATGTAAACAACTCTCACAACTATTGGGAGGAAAATTGCATAAATTTATTGACGAGACTATTTGTAAATACTCAGGAGATTATGTGAAAACTTTGTATATATTCATGTGGAGATAGTTATTTTGTAATTTGCCATATGTAGATTATATATTTTATAATTATTAATAAAAAAAAAAGAAACCACTTAAATATTAAGAGACTTATCTTTCATCAATAATTATAAATAAATAATTTTTGTAGGATAAACTATATGTATTAATTTTTTTATCCATATTATTAAAAAATAGTAATCTCTTTATTTATTTTTATATATTGATTTATTGGGAAATGAGGGACAACAACTAAACATGTAACTATGGGTCTTGACGTTGATTTTCAAGGCATAATTAAGAATAGAAGAAACCGAAGAATAAAAGCTTCTATTCTCTCGGGCCTAATGTAGAACTAGGAAAAAAATTAGCATTGTAATTGGCAGTTTTCTTCATTTTTATGAGGCGAATTTGAGGACTAAGGTCCCCCATTCAACGGACAAATTTAGCAGAGTCATGCATATGCATACATTTCATTTTTTTTATTTCTTCTTTATTTCTGCACCCAATCTCATCCACATTGATCCACCCTTCTCAATTAATGTTTGCACCGATCCACACAATTACTCAATATCTCTCTCTTTCTCTTCAAAATCTATGTAATCATCGTGCCCTTGAAGCTAAGAAAACTCTCCAGCTTTTCGTCTCGCTCGGTTGTCTTCTTTCCCTTGTCCGGTGCGAAACTTTTCCCACCGGTAACCTCAAAGGTCTGTGCTATCTCTTCCTTCTTTTCTGCATAACATCATTGCTTCTTTTTTCCGTTTTTAAACACTATATATAGTTATGTCCTTTTCATCTTAAGTTTAAGAGCTAGCAAGGTTTTTTCTTTTCTGAAACCACTGAAGCAAACATGGGGTTCAACATTTCAGTTGATCAGAAGATTAAGCAAACAAATATAGAAGATGATGCCAGCAAATGGGCAGATGTCTGTTCCTCCTGGTTTTCGATTCCATCCAACAGATGAGGAGCTACTTTACTATTACTTGAGGAAGAAGGTCTCGTTTGAGGCTATCGATCTCGATGTGATCAGGGAGGTTGATCTCAACAAGCTCGAACCTTGGGACCTCAAAGGTACATCAGTTTACTTAAGCTGGAGTTGGAGCTGTTGTACTTTATGTATTTGATGAATTAATCATAATTATGTATCCATGCATGTAGATAAATGTAGAATTGGTTCGGGTCCTCAAAACGAGTGGTACTTCTTTAGCCACAAGGACAAGAAATATCCAACGGGAACACGAACAAACCGAGCAACCACAGCTGGTTTCTGGAAGGCAACGGGGAGGGACAAAGCCATCCATCTCACTTCCAACTCCAAGAGGATTGGCATGAGAAAAACCCTAGTCTTCTACACCGGACGTGCCCCTCATGGCCAAAAGACTGATTGGATCATGCATGAATATCGCCTAGATGATGACAACGCTGAAGTTCAGGTAATTAAATTGATGTCAGCTAGCCAGGATTCACTACACGTATGATCTCGAAGATTGTTTGGTTAGGATATTAAGTATGGAGAATAGATACATGATCAAGGAACATTTGTTTTTTGGGATAACATGGCTGTCTTTAGATCTTTTGACCCGACTAATTCATAAATACCTACAAACTGCTTTGCTCTGTCCACAGGCCCTTATGAGCTTGATGGTTTAGACTTTCTTGATCAACATGTAATAACTAATTAATCAACTGGACATCTATGTGATTTTCAGGAAGATGGATGGGTGGTGTGCAGGGTTTTCAAGAAGAAGAATCATAACAGGCCAGGTTTCCAGGCAGATGTTGGTCAAGAAGAACACTCTTCTCACATCAAATGGTCTACCGCTTCCTCATCTCAAGTGGAGGCATTAAAGCAAAATCATTTGCAAGCACTGTATGATAATAATTACTCATTCGATGGAGTGCATCTTCCACAGTTGTTTAGCCCAGAATCAGTAGTTCCCCCATCCTTCATATCGCCTGTCTCTCTCACCTCATTGGACATGGAGTGCTCTCAGAGCTTATTGAGGCTAACATCCATACAGCAACAGCAGCAGCAGCCGCAGCCACAGCAGCAACTGCAACCAGAGAGATTTAACGGTGATTGGTCATTCCTTGACAAGCTTCTAGCATCTCATCCAAGCATGGATCATCAGTCCCAGATCAGCAAAGTCAACCACGTTGTTGATTTGGGAACTTCCGCTCAGAAATTCCCATTTCAATGTCTTGGTTTTGAGACTGACATCTTGAAGTTTTCCAAGTAGCTAGAGACTCATTATATATATAAACTTGTTAAGTTCCATCTTTATAATTCATTAATTTGAGTTTTATGCTTTAAATTTTATTAAGTGCCAAGAGATGCATATATTCACATTTTGATCCACAAATTAACTCATGGAGGCCCCAAGAACAATATTAATCTCTTGATGGGTAACAAGTGCAAATTTTGTTTACAAAGGCCCGTAGTATGGATATGAATCATACATATCATTTTCCTTTATAATATATTAACAGTTTTTTTGCTCTATTTTTCACAATATATAATTAGAGAGAATATAATAAAATAATTTGAATTGAAAATTTTATAGTTCTAATTAAAATTTAGTTGTACGCAGACGTTTTCGTTGAGAGACTCACCCACCATTTTCAGATGTGCGACGCGGGTCGATTCAGATTAGTCGGGATGAAGTCCCGGATACCAAATGAGAAACAAAAAAAAATAAAATAAAATTTAGTTCTTAAATTTATTTATTTTTTAAAAAAATTAGGTCCCTAACAACAGTATATATATAATTTATGTGACAAATTATAATTGATTCTTTCAATTGAAAGGAACATTTGAATCAATGTATATTAATTCTTTGGAAATTATACATTTGCCCTATAAATCCATACACCCAACCATGCATTGCGGGTCTACCTAATAAAATATAATTTTTTCCCACAAATTCACTTATCCCTTGTTTATCTAGATTCCATTCAAATTAGGAAACTCACCGAACTCATCATCAACAACAATAGCTCCTTTGATGCTAGAAAATCTGGATGCCATAACAAGAGTCCCACTCATCCTCACCTTCATGAAAGTAAGATGGAGTCGTTGGGGTTTGATTCTCAAATTCATGAAAACATCAATCGCATTGTAAAAAGCTGAGTTGAGAAGGATTCATAGATCCCATTCTTGTTCTGGCCTCTCCCTTCCCCATAGTCAAGCAAATGGGCCCGCCATTGGTCAAAAGCATGCGAAAGAAACAAGAAATTCCAGCAATTTTTCTTGGCTACATCCTTTCCCTTCTTGTAGAAAATAGCCATGGTTGGAAAAGGGCAAGAGTGGACAAGTTTGGCCTTGTATGATTCGAGGGTAGAGAGGAGAGAAAGGAAAAGGAACACATGTGTGATGGAATAAATAAATATTTTAGGGTTTCTAGGGATTTCTTGTATGAATAGGAAGGAGGGTTCTTGGGAGATTTTGGAGGGGTTTCAATCCCAAAAAAGGGGTGAGCTGATAAAACAAAAAAAAAAAGGGGGATTTTTCTATTTAGGGAATCAGCAAAGAAAAAATCAAAGAAAGGGGGTTGGAGGTTTTTGGGTGCTGATTTTTTTAGTTTTCCTCCATTCTAGGATTCAAGAGAAGAAAAAAAAAAGAGAAGGGAAGAAGAGGAACAACTATGGGTAGGAGAAAGACCCCTCAAGCCTTAGGTAACTTCCCTCTCTGTTCCTATTTCTATGTCTTGTGTAATTTCAATGCATTCTGTGCGATAAAATGCTAAGTTTGTTTTAGATCGATGGTTTATTAACGTTGACTTTACATGAAACCTCTTAATTTTGATTGTTCTACACTGTTTTTTTCTCTAGTGTTTGTGGGTTTGGAATTGCTATTTGAAATTGTGATTAAAGGCTTGAGGAGGACCAACTCAACTTTGAGTTTCCTTCTTTTGACCAAAACATGAGAACCCATCTTCTTGTACTGCTACTCCCATGGCCCGGATCCAACAACGATCAAATACAATCTGCCAACGATGTCCTTTCACTACTAGAAATCCATTTTCAGCAACATGGGAGCAAATTGGTGAAAGTGCATCGTATGTTACTAAAAGTACTTCAAAATCATGTTGTTGATGCCTTTGTTGCAGAAGGTGTGGTGGGTAATACATTAGCAACAAGGTTCACATTGTTGATTCATGGCACTTTTTTTAGTAACATATCTTTTGTTGCTAAAAATGAAGTTTCATCGACATGGTTCATGTTGTTAAAAAATTCATCACAGTTGGCTACCAAAATTTTTCACCCTTTTTAGCAACACACTCCTTGTTGTTGAAACTATACTATCAACAACATGATTTATGTTGGTAAAAATAGTTACCAAATTGTCCACCAACCATACACCCTTTTCAGCTACATATCCCATGTTGGTAAAAATTATTGAAATTTCAAATTGCCATCTCTTGCCCATTTCTTGATTCATATACTTCAAAAAAAAAAAAATTCAATTCAATTTATTAGTAGATTTTTAGGGCTCTATTCAAATTCAATTTCTTACCAGATTCACCACACCTTCTTCAGGCAAAAGCCTAAAAATAGCCCCTTACTTTGATAAGTTGAACGGTTTTGGTCCCTTACCTTATAATATAACGGTTTTAGCCCCTAAC